TAAGAGGCATCGTATACGTTTATGAAATTGTCAAAGAATAAACAAGAGACTCAAAAGAAGAAAAAAAATAGTCAACATTGGCCAGGCGTGGAGGCACATACATGTAATCTCAGGAATCAGAAGATTAAGAAGAAAGACCAGGAATTGCAGGCAGGCCTGGTGTCTTAGCTTGTTTTCTGCCACCGTGATAAATAACATGACCAAAAGCAACTCGAGGAGGAAACAATTTATTTCGGCTTACAGCTGTAGTCCACCATCAAGAGGAGTTAAGTCAGGAACTTGAGACAGGGAATTGGAGGTTGGAACTGAAGCAGAGACCATGTAAGAGTGCTGCTTACTGACCTTTCCCCCTGGGCTTGCTCAGCTATCTGTCTTAGACAATTCAGAGTTACTTGCTTAGGGGTGATACCGCCCACTGTAGGCTGGGTCCTCCTACGTAAATCATCAATCAGAAAAATTCCCCCACAGATTTGCCTACAGGCCAGCCTGACAGAGACAAACCCTGAATTGACATTCCCTCTTCCAGGATGACTCTAGCTTTTGTCAAGCTGGCAAAAAACCAACCAGCACACCCCATTTACATAGTCAGACACTGTCTCAAAAAACACACAGGAAAGAGGGACCAGTGTCTGCCCTGCAGTTCCTCAGCACCCAGTCTTCCTTAATTCCCAGGTGCCTGGCAACTACTCATGAAGGTCCCCTGTGAATCCTTTTGTCCGTGCCCTCTCTGGCATGGTGCCAACCCTTACAGCACTGGCTTTTCCTCTCTGTTTCCCTGTGGGAATTTTTTTCTTCCTCGTTCCCACATGTGATCCTTCCTAACAGGACAATAGTTTGGCACCTTGTTATTAGGGATAAGTACTTTGACACAATGAAAAGATCTGGATGCCTGAGCAGCTACCCTGTTGAGAGAGCCTGGGATAAGACAACAGTCCCATAGATCCATCTTGGGCTCATCCTGCTGGTTCGCCTCATCTGTTTTACATTCTTTTTCTTTCTTTATTCTGCAAGATAGGGTTTCTCTGTGTGTAGCCCTTACTGTCCTGGAACTCACTCTGTAGATGAAGCTGGCCTGCAATGTCTGCCTCTGTCTCACAAAGTGTTGGGATCAAAGGCATGCCCTGCCACCACCCAGCTCTGCTTTATATTCTTACAAATATCATTTTTAAACACTTTTGAAATTTTTTTATGTGTGTGTGTTTTCCCTGCATGTATGTCTGTGCACCACATGTATGTATGCCTACGGAGGCTAGAGGAGAGCCTCAGTGCCCTGAGACTGGAATTACAGAGGGTTGTAAGATGTCATGTGGGTGCTGACAATTGAACTTGAGTCCTCTGGAAGATCAGCCAGAGTGGCTCTTAGCCACTGAGACATCTCTCTGGCCTCAGTAAATACCACTTTGACCAACCTGGACCATTGACTTATTTTAAATTTTATATTATTCATGTGTGTATGCATATATGTGTAGACAGATGGTTGTTAAAGCTTGATAGAATGTCTTCCTTGATCATGCTATACCTTACTTTTAGAGGCAGGATCCCTCACTGATCCCAGACCTTACCATCCCAGCTAGTCTAGCTAGTGGCCTTGCTTCTGGGATCCCTTGTCTCTGTCTCCTGAATTACAGGCAACCACCATGACCACTCAGCTTTGTAAGTAGGTTCTAGGAGTTTGAATTCTGGTTCTCATGCTTGTATGCCAAGCACTTTATGCATCGAACCATCTACCCAGCCTGTTCTTCATCTTTACTAGTTGAGTGTGCTTGCTGGTCAGTTTGATATTCTATCCGTTATATTTTCTACATCAGTGCCAAGACGGGATGTTAACTCAGTGGTGCAATGTTATTTTAAAAACAAACTCCCAGAAATGTCTGGCCTCGAAGGATGTACAAATTATTTCTATTCTATGTTTCTCCTATCCTGGAACTCACTGTGTAGACCAGGCTGGACTTAAGCTCACAGAGATATGCCTGCCTCTGCCTCCTGAGTTCTGGGACTAAAGGTGTGCACCACCACCGCCCGGCCTTTTTTAAAATTAATTTTTAAAAATCACATTTATTTATCTATTTGCAAGTGTGTGTGGGGGGGGCATTGCCATGGTCAAGTTCTGAGAGCAGATTGCAGGAGTCAGTTCTGCCCTCCATCATGTGGGTCCCAGGGTTCCAGCTCATGTCTCGGGCTTGGTGGCAAGTGCCTTCATCTGCTGAGCTTTCATCGATAAAACCATTTTTAGTGTTACCGTTGTAGTCCATTGTGAGGGGGAGTCAATTTGTATTTTCTTTCCTTGATAAAATCATTCTTAGTAATAACCTCTGCTAGCATACAATAGTTGGTGATAGCTCATGATTTGGTAATTAAAGTAACACAAGAAAAACCTCAATTCCTCTAATGAGTTACAATAAAAACAATTTTGGAAAATTGAATACTTAATTGAAATTTACCTTATAGGTGTGTAAAAGGGTAAGGAAGAAACTAGAGTAAGCTTAAACTATTGTGTGCTTAATTTGGCCCCGTTAGGATTAAAAACAGAGCTCTTGAAAGAAAAAAGGAGGAAGTCAGGGATATAGATGGGAAGTCACAGGCCTGATTTGGGACTGCTTTGAAATCTTAGGACTGGTATTGAGGCATCAAGGGTTGGTTTTGGCTTTTTAAAGTAAGTGAATCTTTTTTTACTTTTTGTTTTCTTTGAGACAGGATCACTCTGTAACCCACACTAACCTGTCCAAGCCTCTTGACTGCTGGATTTACAAGAATAGGCTGCCATGCCTCACAAAAGAATCTTTAAAAATATGATGTCTTATATTAATCAATTTGATTTAAAAAAACGAAATTAAATAAAGGTTTTTGTGTGCTTCGGCAAACCCCCTCACCTCCCAGGTATTCCTTACCCCAGAGTGTGAAGAGATTTTGTGGTAAATAAAGCTGCACTTTGGAGGTTGTTGGAAGTGACGATTGTCCTCTATTCTACAGATGCTTCACCGTCTCACCTTCCCAGGACCTCGGAGGGGGGTGGTGGTAGGATGGAGCGGGATAAGGAGGGAGCAGAGTGGGAAGGAGGGAGGAGGAACAAAAATGGACAGGGCCAGATTGTCTTGTGTGTGTGAAAGGCCCACCCTACCCTGGAAGGCAGCCTGCGACAGGTATTTAAGTCCGTCTGTGGCCTCACTGTGATGGGTGCTTTTACTTTATGGTAGAAAAGTTGTGCTTTTCTAGACACTGTGGCAAGCCATGCTTTGTTCGTGTGTGTGTGTGTGTGTGTGTGTGATTGTGTGGGTGTGTGGAGGTCACAGGACAACCTCAAATGTCATTCATCAGGTGCCTTCCGTCTTTTTGAGCCAGGATCTCTCTTCTGTCTTTGAACTCACCTGGATAGCCAGGCAGAATGACCAGGGAGGTCTGGTTGATCTACCTGCCTGTCTCTGCTTCGTCAGCTCTTGAGTTACAAGGGCACATCAAATTCCCGTGTCTGACTTAAAAATATTCATTTATTTTGTGCCTGTGTGGGAGCCGGCATGAGGATATGTGCACTACAAGAGCGCTGATTTTTTTTTTAAATGTGAGTTCTGAGGCTAAGAACTCAGGTCCTCATTCTTTTAAGGCAAGCAGTTTATCGACTGAGCCATTTTCTCATCCCCCCTCAAAAATATCCTAAGTGGTGGAAATTCCCAGCAATTCCTCTGCCTTAGGATTGAATCCAATATGCATTTACAGCCTGTGCAGCAGGTGATATGGGAACAGAAGCCATCTCACCAAAGGCACAATGTTCGGTCAGACAGGACTCAGGCCAGGACCCTCTTGGTCACCATGCTCTTTTTACACATGTTTAATTAATGTGTGTTAGGTTGTAATGACCAGGAGAAAAGCAGAGTCCTTCTTCCCTTCTCCACCTTCATCTTCTCCATTTCTCCTCGGAGATAAAGCATAGTTTCTAGCACTTGGCAGACATTCAATAAACACTGTTGGCTGAATGAATGCTATGTTCATTAGCTCTGTGTGTGTGTGTGTGTGTGTGTGTGTGTGTGTGTGTGTGTGTGTGTGTTGGGAGAGTTATTACTTTACAGACGAGGAAATTGCAGAACTCCCAAGACCACACACAAATCACTTCAGGATCGTGGATTCCAAGGCCAGACCTATCCAAGTGGCTGCACAGCCTATGTTCTTCCCAGCGTCCCCTGAATTGGGGGGCTGTGAGGGCTAGGGAGCCGCTAGACGGGAGCACCTGCACTGGGTAAGCTCGTGCCTCTACGTAAGAGCTCCGAATCAGACGCGGTGAGGCAAGCAAAGGTGGGATCCCCCACTCTGCTTAAATCCCACCCACGGAGAGGAAGCAAAATTGTGAGTGGATCCTGCTGAGAATCCAGCACCGATGCGAAGGAAGACAGAGAGAGCTAGGATTCTCTGGGAGCTCGGCAGAGGTAGGAGGGCTGGGAGGAAAAGCAGCGGAGCTAGCATTCTTCCTGGGGTCCTGTTTCTTGGACCGATATGTGCGAACCACGGTGATTCCCTCATAGACACTTGTCGCCCGGAGGGTTCCATCACCTGTGCAAGGTGGGGCGACGGAAGGAGCTGTTTACCAGACTGTGATCTCACCCCTAACTTCTTTCCAGTTCGTGGTGGAGAGCACAGATAACTATTTTGGTGGGAACCAGGCTTGACACATAAGGGATGCTAGGATTCTCGGGAGGGTGACGGATGACATTGCGACCTGAAAGACTGGGCTCTCTCATTCAAGCATCCTTCTCTACACCTACCTCTGCCTCCATGTCGACGCGCCCTACGACGGGACTGAGGTTCCTGAAAGCAAGTCCCCGCCCGCTGACTCCTTGCTGCGAACTGGGTGGGGACCCGCGGTGCCGCGGAAAGGCTATTTTGGGTGTGGGAGCGCGGAGGGAGGAGGGGCGCCGGCGGGCTGGGCGAGGGCGCGCGGGGAAAGCCTCCAGCTCGGGCTGCCACGGCAACCGCGTCCAGGCAACGCGCCCGGAAGCAGCTCTGGGCGGCGCGCGGCGGCTCGCGCCCTTCCCCGGGTGGGGGAGCCGCGAACCCCCGGCCGGGCCGCGCGCGCGCCGACTGGAGCGCGGGCCCGTAGCCGGGTTCGCCCCGCACAGCCCCGTGCTCGTGGCCACCACATCCAGAGCGCCAGCGACGACATGGGCAGCCGCGGCGCGCCCGATCCGCGCGCGGGTGAGTCTCCAGGGGTGCCTCTCCTCCCCACGCGGCCGGGCATCCTCTGGATTCAAGCAGCGGGAGCTCCAGCAGGGACCGTTGATGTGACCTTGGAGCAATCACTTCACGGATAGGCATGGGATGGTGTTGGGGAAAGGGGGTGAGGGGTGAAGCTGCGCGTGCCCCGTGTGACACTCTGGACGTGAGAGGGTTAACTGCATGCTGACGCGCAGGGCTGAAGTTGGGCGCAGAGCGCAAGTGGCATTGCATCTTCGCGGGGGCTGCAAGCTAGCAGACAGCAGAGCCCCCGAGGGACTGTTTGAGGCGAGCCAAGGGTGTGCAGAGTTTGCCAGGACTATGACAAGTCTATCACCCCCAATCAGAGCTGAGTGACCTTGCGTGGGTTAGCCACACTGCTTCCCCGCGGGTTCCCTGTCTCTCTCCAGTTGCAGCCCAAGGCTGTTTTGCTGGTACTGTGAGCTGAGGAAGGGCTTTTTAATCATGTTTATTCTGCAAGGGATTTCCAATGAGCTGGCTCCCAAAGTGGCCAGAAATGTGTTACCATTTTCTGGAAGATTATGGAGGGAACACTCTGTGGTCCAGGAAGGCTGGTTAAATGCATTGATCAGAATCCCATCGGTGGTCCTAAATCCTAAATCCATTTCAGGTTTAAGCTACTGAATACTTCTTTCCAGTAGTTGATCTGGTAGGAAACTTTGTGTCTGAACAGGTAAAATCAAAACCCAGTAGTGGCAGGCAGTGGCAAATTAAAGTGAGTCATTTCTTCAATGTGCAGAAGCTGTGTGTGTGTGTGTGTGTTGCGCATGCGTGCACTCATCTTAAAGTCTGTGTGTGCTGGTGTTAGAGATTATTTCACAGAAATTCTGCTGGGCTGGTTTGGATCTCCAGAGGGAATCTCTTGGAAGCAGGGACAAATATTTTGCATTTGGTCTTTAAAGTCTGGTGGTGGTGGTGGTGGTGGGGAACTGACAAGGTGGCTCAGTGGGGTAATGTCCTTGTCACCAAGCTTGATGACCTGAGTTTGATCTTCAGAACTCACACTGTGAAAGGAGAGCACCATCCAACCCCCGTAAGTTGTTCTCTGATCTTCACACCCACACAAAGCACACAAGCTAAACAAATAAATATAATGAAATCAACGAATTAGGTTTTTGAGAGTAAATATGTTCTTTATTAAGAAATGTACAGTGCCTCTGCCTCTCTCTCTCTTCTGTGTGTGTGTGTGTGTGTGTGTGTGTGTGTGTGTGTGTAGAGGTGACTTACAGGCTGTGGTATTTTCTTCTAATTTTAGCACTGACCGGTACTAAAAATGACAAGGAGGCCGTTTTCCATTTTCCATCCATAAACTCTTTCATCTAAGGGGGGACAAGGGGTGCCCAGGATTCTTGTCACTGGACGGTTGAGATGTCTCTGACTTTGTGTTTCAAGGACACTCTTGGTATCTGTGGGAATCTGACTTCCTCTGTGTAAAAAGGTCGCCTGGGAAGCTAAGTTTTCAGTTAATGAGCAAACTTCTGCCAGCTTACCTATCTGAGGGCTTAGAAGTCCTTAATGGGTTACCTGCTAGAAATCTGCCCCCATGCAGATACAAAAATCCCTGTTGCCCAGGAATCCCGTCAACCAGCCTACAGCCCTTTAAGGACAAGTCCTCGACTTCAGAGCCTCCATCCGCAGAGGACTCAATCCTCTTGCCCCTGCAGCTGCTAGCCCATGTGACTTCTGACACTTGGGCTCTCTCCTCTTTTGTGTCTTGTAGACATGCTTCTTCTGTATTTCCATTTTCTGTCTCTGAGTTCATCTCTACTTTCTCCCCTTCTACCAGAGTCTAAGGACATGACTTCCCCCAGAACACCCCTTTCTGGGATCTACTCATAGAACCAGGATGTCTTGGCCCTAACTCCTTCGTGTCACCTCAAAGCCTTAGAATGTGATACTGTCTTCTTGGCCTCAAGTCTTTCCTTGTGTTTCTGGCTTTCAGTACCTTCCCAAACCTAAAGCCCCTCAGAATCGCCAGACACGTTTTGAAAAAGACAGGCTCATTTAGACCCTCTCAGATATCGAAATGGAATCATTAGGATGGTTTAAGACCATAAAAAACCCAAACCACTCAACCAAACTAAACCCTTTCTGTAAAACAACAACAACAACAACAAAAGATAAGGCTTAGCTCAGCAACATGGTCCGGCAGCTAAAGGCACCTGTCACCAAGACAGACAACCTGAGCTTGCGCCTCAGAATCTACACGGTACAAGGAAAGACGGACACTTCTAAGTTGTCTTCTGACTTACACATATGTGCCAAAATGCACACAATTCAAAAAATTGTTTGTTTGTTTTGTCTAAAAATTAAAATAAATGGAGAGAGGAAGGAGAAAACAGTTTATTTGATGCTGGCTCACCATTGACCCCTGTGGCTCCACCTTGACCCCCCATGCCCCAGCCTTGACCCCTATGGCTCAGCCTTGACCCCCAGGACTCTGCCTGCATTTCCCTTCAACCACTAATACCACAGACATGCTGAGTTTGGGCCGGTTTTCCCCTTTCAGGAGCTAGGACTTGGGCTTCTTCCCACTGCACCATCTCTGTCTCCCTACTGTGGCTTTCCCCATCCCCGAGGATTCCAGCACTGAGGCATTGAGCTTGCGCTCAAGCGTTGCAATGCTTCAGCCTATCTGCAGGGCTCCACATCTTTGGTCTTGACATGTTGATTTTTTTTTTTTTTTTGAGTCAAGGTCTCAATATGTAGCCTGGCTAACCTGGTACTCACTCTGTAGGCCAGGCTACCCTCAAATTCCGAGAGCTGCCTATTTCTGCCTCCAGCCTGCTGGGATTAAAGGCGTACACCATGCTGTCATCCTTGGATTCCTTGGATTCCAGTCTCCAATCCCCAAACTACCCCCATTGTCTGTGTTTTCTTCTCCTAGCCTGCCAGTCACAGAGACCCCTGGACTGGTTCCATTTTAAATTGATGCTGGCTTTAATTTCATGGAGGCTTGCTTTCCTATGAAACACAAGAATTCCATGTCATGAACTCAGACTGCGTACACTTTGCCCTGTGCCACAGCTTTGTACCCCTTAAACCCCAGGTTCCCTTTCAGAAAGTGGCTTTTGACAGCTAAGACAAGAGTGCCCACATTCTCCGTTACTGCCCACCACCTCAGTGTGAGTCCGGTCGTACCCGCCTTCACATCTCCAAGTATTTCCTTCTCTACCTCTCTGTGTCCTTGTGTTTCTGGTCTGAAATTCAGGAACATCTCTGTGCCTGTCCTGTGTTTAGCCTAAAGCCATTCCACACCCTCAGTCCCCCACTCTGTCCTTGACTACCCCGTTGGGATCTTGTTTTGCTAGAGTCTCCATTCTGTCCCCTAGAACCTTCTCTAGTGAAGGAAGTGATGGTAGTTAATAGCCATACGTGGCTACAGAGCTTCAAGATGTGACTACTATGACCAAGGACCTGAGTTCTTATTCTCTTATCTACTTATTTTTGAGACAGGGTCTTGTTATCCAGCCTGGGCTGTGTTTGAACTCACGGTCCTCCTGCCTCCGCCTCCTAGGAGCTGAGATTATATCACTCCTGGCTTGAACTAAGTTTTCAATTTATGTGGATTTTAGGGGAGCTTAAACTCAATTGAAACAGCCACAGGGAGCGGTTGGCTGCTGTGTCGGAGGGCAGAGCCCGTGCTCAGGCTGCTCTGTTGATCTCTGTGGATCACTTCCTTTATCTTTCAGGGGAAGCTGCCTCCCCATGGGGCCTCCTTGGAGTCTTGGCTGTAGAACTGAGCCTTTCCCCTGCCCTGCTGGTGCCCCGCTGCCCTCCTCCTGTGCCCTTCTCTCTGTCTTCACGCCCTGTCTCCGCAGGGTCCTCACATCCATCATTCGGTGACTTTTTTGCTGGCCCCTGGCTGTACAGGGGACTCTGAACTTGAATTGCTCTCCTTCCCAGCTTCAGGATCAACTCGGAGCCCACCCTCCTGTGCCCTAGTGGGAGCCAATGCCTTCTCTGGCTGGGGGGCCAACACTTCTTATCCTTGTTTTGTGGACGAAGGGATTAGAGTGGAGGAACACAGCATGACTCAAGGCAGTTCTTAGGGGCAGAGCTGAGACAGGGGCTCTGGCCATCAGACCCAGCAAGATCTTCCACCCCAGCTTGGCTCAGGTCCCTGACGTGGCTATTTTATCACTAGTTTATCACTCTGGCTTCCTTAACGATTTCCTCCCCCTGTAATTTTTTTTTTCATCTTAAGCTGATTCAGATTTATGGAAATGTTTCAACAATAAACCGAAAAGTTCTGATCTCTCTTTCAGCCACATTCTATAAATATTAACTTTCAGCCATACTTGTTTTATCTCTCTGGCACTTTCTCCCACTCTCTCTTTGCAGCTATTTGTGGATGTGTGTGTACAGACACACACTTAACTTGTAATTTCTCCTGCACGGTGTCAGAGCAACAGGGAGAAAATGTACCTGTGCTGTCCCAAATACTCAAGCATGTGTTCCTTTCTTTTAAAAGCACATATTCTTATACAGCCCTTGTCAAAATCAAGAAGTTAAGTTTGAATCAGTGTTACTCTCTAATCTACAGATATTAGTCAGGCGTCCTAATAGTATCTTTATACAGAAGGAGAGGAAGATATTTTCAAAAGGCTTTCGTTTAGGGATCAGGATCCAATCTAGGGTTTAAAGCACTCCATTTGGTAGTGTGTGTGTGTGTGTGTGTGTGTGTGTGTGTGTGTATACATATACATTTATACTTTTAAATGCGACCTGCTAGTCTATATAATGTTACTTATGTGTATGTTTATAGAGCTGACCATTTGGTACTGGACAGCCAATCGGTGTGCTCTTCCCTGGGTCAGATTATTTCCTCCCCTTCCCAGCATTCCTTTGCTGCCTGTAGTTCTTTGTGTAGGGCTGAGGCCTCAGGGGCTTTCCCCATCCACTTTAGCATCTCTGTTATTGTTTTCCTTGTTCAGCTCAGGTTTGTGCAGCCGTGTTGC